CTGGGGTCCGGGCCCGCTGAAGGCAGCATGGCGACGGCTTCACAAAATATGAACCAGGGAAGAAACAGGCAGTCAGACAGACTTGGCAAGGCCAAGAGCAATCGGATTCAATCGAGAGAGCTGCAATCGGATGGCCAGCTGGCACGGCGGACCTCCGTTTCGAACGGTCCCAAACCACCCGGATCCTGAGGCAATAACAACACGCCCCGTGGATGCAGAACTGGGCCCCCATCCCTTTCCCCCCGCCTCACACTGCCCTTCTCCATAGATTTCCTCACCGATAAAACCACCTTAATGCCAGCTTGTGAACAAATCCGTGGGGGGGCGCGTGTTTGAAAACATAATTTCCCTGCTCGAGCGAATCGCGGGGTTGCGCCCGCCAGATTGAAAATCAACGGCGGCGGCGCCGGTGATTGGCGCCGACGCCCAGCCGCCAGCGGGGATGCGACAGACAGCACAGTGACGAGGGGAGGGGAGGGGAGGGGGGCTCGAGGCGAAGGCAGCAGAAGCAGGGACCATGAGCCAGGGCGGCGCCTGTTCGAAATGAAGGTGAACTGCTGTCGGCGCTCGCCCCCGCATCTTCTGCGATCTGTTCTGTCGAAGCGATGAATGTTTCCCCACATGTTTCGTGGGGTTCTGGAATTCTTCCCTGCCGCGCCGCACCCGCGTCTCACACCTCCCCCGTCCCCTTCTCCTTCTCGCTTGCACACGGACATGCAAGACGTACGCGCCACATACTGGCATCCACATGATACGCACGTCCACATACAGCCGCACACGCATCATACATCACCCTCATTACGCACGTCCACATTCAGCCGTACACGCATCATACATCACCCTCATTGAGACACACGTCGTCGCACCCCCACTCCCCTCCTCTCTCCTCCTTCCTCTCCTCACCCGCGCCCAACGCATGCACGGCAAGTACATGAGACACGCGTCTACATACAGCCGCACGCATGCACACACTCGCACACACAACACACACAACACACACACCATACAACGCTAGTGCGCGCCCGGCGAATTCACTGCAGCGTCCATTGAGGCTTGTGCACCACATAGTGGGCACACACATGAGACACGTCCCGATATGGCCGCACACGCATCATAGACAGACACAGAACATGCCATATACAAGACGTGCGTGTAGGATTCGCAGGGGATGGCAGGAGGGGGGTGCGCATGGGATGGTCCCTGAGCGCGGCCATTATGCACGACCGTCGTCCAGGCATAGCAGGCGTGGCACTGTCTCGACAACATAAAGGGGGTGGGCAGGGGGTGGTCCCTGAGCGCGGCCGCTATGCACGACGGTCGTCCAGGCACAGCAGGCGTGGCACTTTCTCGACGCCAGAGAGGGTGCGCAGGGGGTGGTCCCTGAGCTCGGCCGCTATGCACGACGGTCGTCCAGGCATAGCAAGCGTGGCATTTCCTCGACACCATAGGGGGTGCGCAGGGGGTGGTCCCTGAGCTCGGCCGCTATGCACGACGGTCGTCCAGGCATAGCAGGCGTGGCACTGTCTCGACACCATCGGGGGTGTGCAGGGGGTGGTCCCTGAGCTCGGCTGCTACGCACGACGGTCGTCCAGGGCACAGCAGGCGTGGCACTTTCTCGACACCACAGGGGGTGCGCAGAGGGGTGGTCCCTGAGCGCGGCCGCTATGCACGACGGTCGTCCAGGCACAGCAGGCGTGGAACTTTCTCGACACCACAGGGGGTGCACAGGGGGTGGTCCCTGAACTCGGCCGCTATGCACGACGGTCGTCCAAGCACAGCAGGCGTGGCACTGTCTCGACAACATAAAAGGGGTGCGCAAGGGGTGGTCCCTGAGCGCGGCCGCTATGCACGACGGTCGTCCAGGCACAGCAGGCGTGGCACTTTCTCGACACCAAAGGGGGTGCGCAGGGGGTGGTCCCTGAGTTCGGCCGCTATGCGCGACGGTCGTCCAGGCATAGCAGGCGTGGCACTTTCTCGACACCACAGGGGGTACGCAGGGGGTGGTCCCTGAGTTCGGCCGCTATGCACGACGGTCGTCCAGGCATAGCAAGCGTGGCATTTCCTCGACACCATAGGGGGTGCGCAGGGGGTTGTCCCTGAACGCGGCCGCTATGCACGACGGTCGTCCAGGGCGTAGCAGGCATGGCACTTTCTCGACACCACAGGGGGTGCGCAGGGAACGGCCACCAACATCATTCTCACATGCTTCAATTCAGCTATCATCGCTCCAGCCATGATATAAGTGTGTGGGGTTCTTCGGTAACGTAATTGTTGGCCCTGGCCGCAGCCAGGGAGGCGCCACCTGCTTCGCGGGCCCGCGAGCAACGCGGGCTGGACGAAAGAGGGGCGTGGACAAGCGGGGATTTGCCCACAGCTCACATTGCGGATTTTCCGAGCGCCCCCTGGCGCCGAAAACGGCCATGCATCGAGAACTGGCCCCTCGGCGGGACGACAGAAACCAGCTGAGTGCAGCAGGTTTCGCCCCCCCCCCCCCCCCTTCCCCTCCCCAGTGTTTCGTCCGACCCGAACAAGGCGGGCAGTCCTCCTCCCTAGCAGTCCTCCTCCCCCCCTTTGTCGTGGTCTCTGTAGTCGCCGACGACGACGACGACGACGAGGACGAGAGGACGAGGACGAGGAGGACGAGGACGAGGACGAGGACGAGGACGAAGACGAGGACGACGGACGGCGGACAGCGCCGGCGACGGCGGCGACGTCGACGACGCACTGCGGATGCCCTATGGGGGGGGGGACTGCGCAGGCCCGCTGTAGTCGACGACGACGAAGACGACGACGACGAATACGACGACGACGACCGACGACGGCGGCGACGACGACGACGCGACGACGACGCACTGCGGATGCCCTCTTGGGGGCGACGACGCATTGCAAGGACGACGAAGAAAACGACGACGAGGGCGGCGGCGGCGGCGGCGACGACGACGACGCGTGAACGGGGGAAAACACATCGCCTCGGATGTGTACGACCCCGATAACAACTTCTATACGAAAGGCGGCCGCTATGAGGCTGTTATGCAAGGGTGGTACACGATCCCCTCGGCGGCGCTAGCGACGACCCCCTGGCGCGCGTGATTAAGAGCATCGTTTCGCGCCCCGCGGGGTATATTACTCAGCACAGGGAGAAGGGGTAGTTATTTGCGAAAGAACGTGTTCCAGCGCTGCTGGCGGAAAACCGGGGGGGGTCACTAGGGGGCTCTCATCCCGTCCCCCCCCCCCTCCCTCGAAAGCCGGGAGGGGTCACTACCTGTTCGAATCCCCCCCAATCCATAATGAGAAGCGGGGGGTCACTACCGGTTCGAACCACCCCCCCTCGAAAACCGAAGGGGGTCGCTACCAATTCGGACCCCCCCCTCCCTCGCCGCCGGCAAACGATTCCCGCTCCTCGGGCCAGTTGGACAGTGGTGGGGATACTGGGACAGTGGTGGGGACGGTGGTGTTGGAGACAGTTGTGTGGAGACAGTGGGACAATGGTGCAGAAAGTGGTGGGGACGGAGGTGGTGGGGACAGTGGTGAGGGGACAGCGGACAGCGGGACAGTGGTGGGGACAGTGGGACAGTGGTGGGGACGGTAGTGGTGGGGACATAGTGAAGGCGGTGGTGAGGACGGTGGTGGGAGATTAGTACAGTGGGGAGAGAGGCGGGGGCAGTGGGGACACTGGGACAATGGTGGGGACAGCGGGCACAATGGGAAAGCACAGTGGGACAGCGGCGGGGACAGTGGGGACAATGGGGAAGTGGTGGGAGCAGTGGGGACAGTGGGACAGTGGTGGGGACCGTGGGGAAACTGGGGAGAGCGGGACCGTGATGGGACAATGGTGGGAAAAGTGGGGACAGTGAGACACTGGTGGGGGCACTAGTGGGGACAGCGGGGACAATGGTGGGAACGGTGGGGACAGCGGGACGGTGGTGGGGACTGTGGGACAATGCTGGGGACGGTGGCGGTGGGGACAGTGGCGTGGTGTCAGACGACGACAAGCCGACGCACGTTGCAGTATTGGCCTCGAGGATCCTACTCTCGCACATGCGTCTCAGTTCCTCCTCTCTTGCGGAGAAATTTCCCATGGCCGTGTCTGGCCCTTCCGGCGCGGAGCTCTCCGCAGCCGGCGCCGGCGCGGGGCTGCCCGCAGCCGGCCCTGCCGACGAGCTTGCGCTCGCTCCTGCCGATGCCTCGGCTGCCTGAGCTTGCGCCGCTGGCGGCGCGATCGCGTCGTCGCCCGCCGTCTCTAGCCTTGGGTCGCCAGGTGGATCTTCCGGCGGTCGCTTCAGCGCCGCACGGTCCAGCGCCGTCGGCAGGTGGTCCACCCTCTTTTTGGCTGCCCTGGCGGTCCTCTTAGGGCCCCTGCTTGTCTAGGCGCCCCCGACGCGTCCGCCGCGGAACCGCCCGCAGGCGGCGCGGGCACATCCGATCCCCTGCGATTGCACCCGCCCCCCTTGCTGCACATCTGCTTCGATGTGCGCCTTCATTCTCTGCGTGCGCTCGGCAGAGTGCGCGACTCCTGCCGGCGCCCCGAATGCGATGTTCGCGCGCTGCGCAATCGGGAGTCGGCCCGTGCGCTTCGATGTCCCGCTTGAGGGTGCAGGGTGTCCTGGGCCCTGGAGCTCTTCTTCTCCCTCCTCCTCCCCCTCCCCCCCCTGCTGCCGCCGGGTGTGGCGCAGGCGGTGGTCTTGCAGCTTCCGCGGCTGCCTCTGCTTCCGCCGCAAGTGGCGGAGCCCTCGCCGGCGCGGAAATCCCCGCAGCTGGCGCCGGCGCGGTGCTGCCCGCAGCTGGCGGCGCCATCTGCCATGGCATCCCCTTGAAGTCGCCCAGCCCCTCGCTGGTCCACCTTTCGCCTTCCTGCGTCTCGTTGCATGCCTTGGCGCGCGCGGCGCCCGCATCGGTCATCGCGAGAAGGCCCCCTGCGCGGGATTGGTGTCCCGCGTGGCTGCCTTCGACCATTTTCGGCGCGAGCCCGCTCCTGGGCTCCTGCGCCACTGCTGGTCGAG